TCGCCAGCTTTTAATTTTTATTAATTATAAGCTTTTTTGTCCAAAAAATATTAAAAAAGCTAACTCGGAAGTATTAATAGTAAATAGCTTATAATTAAATGATTCCCTGTGGAATACTATTTTTAAAAAAGTCGATCGATCATCTTAGAGGTGCTAAATTAAGATATATTTCACCAGAATGATTCTTTAAAATATATTTAAAATATGCTTGAATCGTTATTCGATCGGTATAGATCAATGAAAATCCGTCGATGTTAGTGGAGTCTCCGGACGATAATCTTTTACATAATTAAAATTATTAGAAATATGAGATAACATGTGGACCGGCACGTGTTAAACAAACCTAGCATATAAGTGTACTATATAGTACAAAAATTGAATTATATAGTTTCAAATTTGTTTTCGAACATGTATATAAAAAATTTCGGTGTAGAAATTCAATTCAGATTATATTAATCTTTTAATATCAAAATGGTTAACACCGGCCGTCTTTTCATAATCAGCGTTTCTGCACTTATCGGTTTTTTGGCATATACTAGTCAAATATTTATTTTTTGGGATTTTTTGGGAGGACTCAACGTACATTGTTTAGTAGTCTTAATACCATTCAACATCTTTGTGATATTAATATACTGGAATTACTATTTGACCTGCACGACTGATCCAGGAAGAGTGCCAAAAGATTGGGTTAGTTTTATACTAACTCCATTTATATTTTGTTTATTACTGACAGAGTGATGGTAGAATCTTATTATTTCAATGCGAATAGCATCCCAAGGAAACTCAAGATTTAGAAATAAAACGAACTACTCATTCTCCTCGGTATTGCAGGACATGTGCAGGTTATAAACCGCCTCGATCTCACCATTGTCGAACTTGCAAAAGGTATTCGTTTTATTCACTTACCATTAATTATTATTTTATTATTAATAATATTAAAATCTTTTTCAGATGTGTATTAAAAATGGATCATCATTGTGAGTGATATACATTACGTTGTTCTGTATACTTTAATTCTTGGTTTCAGTTCAATCACTTAATTTGAATTTAATTATTGTTTTTTTATAGGTCCTTGGACTAATAATTGTGTAGGATACTTCAATTATGGCCACTTTATCCGCTTTGTTTTCTGGGTTGACGTAGCGTGCCTTTATCATATTATATTAATGATCAGACGAACGATGCGGTTAATTGAAGATATATCTTATATTAGGGTATATATATATATATGTGTGTTAATATAATATTAATTAAATATTATTACTACATGAATTTATGGCTTATTTGAATCTTTTTCATTAATTTAATTCCGTTATTTAGATTGATGAAGATTCATCAACAGTAGAAATTATCTTTTTAATTCTAAATTATGCTGCTGTATTACCTGTATTTTTTTCCGTTGGGATGTTAAGCATGTATCATTTTTATTGTATGTGTACCAATACCACTACGATAGAAAATTGGGAAAAGGATAAAGTTGCTACAATGGTTCGAAGGGGTAAAATTAAAGAGGTTAGTCAAACAAAATATGAATTATTCAAAATTTTGTAAATTTATGTGTGTTCAAATTCTTATCTAAGTTTGAAAAAAATTTTTGGTTAGGTAACTTTTCCGTATGATATTGGATTTATAGAAAATGTTCGAGCAAATCTTGGTGATAATCCGTTATTATGGTGCTGGCCACAAGAAATTAAGGGTACTGGGTTATCTTTCCCAATTTCAAAAGACGCAGGTACGACAACAGACGACTCGGATTTGGATATGGACTACATAGTTTAATAATGTTAATCATAATAAAAATATAAATAAGGGTCAGTTTATTAATTTTTTCGAAAACTTGGTTTTTAAACTGAGAATATGTTTAGTACTTCTTATAATTATTATTGAATTGTTTAATTGTTCAGAATAGAATTTTAAAATATTGAAATTTATGCTCTTTTATTTAATTTATAAAAATAATTAATTTTTGTGTAAATATATTCCATTATGGATCTGGGTTGAACTTATATTAAAGTTTACTTAAATTTTAATCAAAGAGTAATTTTGATTTATCTTAATTACAACCATTTTTTTCTTTTCTTTAGACCCAACAATTATATGGCCACCAAAAGATCCAACAATTACTACTTCTATCTTGGCACCAAAGCCATGGCATAATTATAATAATCATTATAATTCTAATTCTCGTAATCAAAAATATTCCCGACCATTTGTTCGAAGAGATAGTGAAGGATATCTAGTTAGGGACATTTCATTAGAAGAACGTGCTGCGTTGGTTAATAATTATGAGTGCGAAGGTGAAGATGAACATATAGACGATCCATATCATAATTCTGATGGCAGTACTTTATATTCTTATAGCGATGAATATCCTGACAATGAAAATGAAAAAATAGAAACAATTACATATGACGAGTTTGATGATGATAATTATCCTGGGAATATAGAAAGTGATGAAGATAGAAATGATTATGATCAATCAATCAGACGTTATATGACAAAAGACCAAAAATTTTCGTCTGTTTACGGTCAAGAACAATCTCAGAACAATAGGTATAGTAAAAGGAGGGATGAAGATGAAAATGATAATGTGCCTATAGGGTTGTTAATCGGAAAAAAACAATTGGAAGCTATGGGATATGATGGGGAAAACCTTGAAGGTTATTTAAAAACGAGAGGGGAGAATAATCGAACGTTATTTGGCGAGGGAAATAGCTATAAGACAGAGAAAGTTGATTAAAATTAATTTTGTATTTTTATTAATTATATTTTAGACTATACAAAATTTAACTAATGATAAAGGACTTATTTTACGTAAGAAATTGTCAAGATAATTCTAAATTGGCGTATTTACCTATCTTAGATTTTGAATTATTCCATAGTTAAGTCACGTGAATTTTAGGCGTTAGCGTTACGGCCAGAGGTAAACCATTTTTGATACTTCTGCGCTTAAATTTTTGAAATATGCCTAAAATTTCTCTGGCTGCGATATAATCACGTGATTATTGATATAAAAAGTAAAGAAATTTTAAGGTGCATCAAAATCGTAAAACTTGCAAGGTAGCGGTAGAGACGGTTAAAATTTTTTTTAAAAGTTCATGTGTTTTAACCAGGAGAGCAAAAGATCATGTGATTTTGAAGCTTAATCTGGAAAAATTGTACCTAATTTTATAAAGGGAATTGCTACCGGCACAGCAAACACGTGACATAATTCCTAATTCTGCTACATTCTAACACTAACCTGCTGTGTCGTTAAGGTTAGTTCTGGTCACTTGCTGTGTCGATAAGCACGTGTTTTGTTGTGTCGGTAGCAATTCCCTTTTATAAAATATCGATTTTACTCGTGATTATGTTTCCTATCATAATAAAAAAAAGCATTCTCCCCAACGATACCAACTTCAGATATCCCAACTCTATTCTCTTTAGCTCCTCATTCAATCCCAAGTGATTAAACTCGAATTTTTTCGTTACAAATTGACCATAAACCGTTCAAGAAATTTAGTAACAATCTCGTTCACCCTTTCCTCATCATTTTTCTTATAATTTCGTATTTAAACATAAATAAAAGGCTTAACCTCATTCATATCATAATTTTCCTTTGAGAATTCTGATTATTTACGGCATTCAAATTATGTTATGTGATAGAATGCACCATTTTAAATTAGATACCATCCGCCAGAACATCAATTAATATATTTCGATATCAAATTTTACATATTTGAATACCCCAAGTACAGTACATATTTCTTCAGTAAACAACACTCTTTCTGGTACGTATGTACGTACGTACGTACGTAGGAAAAACGATTATTTATTAACCACCCATGTTACACCCAAATCTCACGTTTCATCAAAAGTAATTCCGTATTTTCGAATGCGAATCATAACTATTAAATTCTTGAATTTTTGCATGACTCTAAAATTAATTAAATTTTTAATTTGAATTATTGACAGTCTTCTGCCTGTACGCCCTATCAAATTGATCAAGCAACACTTACTCCAAAAATATTGTGAAATGACGTGACTTACAACTTTGGAATCAGGAATATCTACTACTTTCGCAATCTTCTAGCGATAATAGAAGCCTATTATTATAAACATTTGTTTAAGTTAAATTTAAGGTTAAAATTTGGCCATTTTTCTCACTTACACCGGTACTTGTCATGGCTCGGTTCCCGGTTCCACGAGCGGGTTGTTCCCCTTGAATTATTAACGCTTTCGCATTTCATCAAGGTAGCTTTAACTCAATTTACCCTCTCGAGTTCGAGCATCCGTATTTCCTTTCATATTAATTAAACAGTATATCAAAAACAGTGTATTAAAATTAAACAGTATATCAAATAAACAAAATTAATGAACTCGTATTTAAAAATTTAGTCCTATATACTTAATATGGAAATGCTTCTGGTTAAGGTATCGGA